GGGGGCCCCCCACTCCGGCCGCGACTTGGACTGGGGGCCACCCCCTGGGGGCCCCTCCTCTTTGGCCTGGCGCCTCCAGGAGGCACTTGAGCGCTCCATCGTTTGCCGTTTGCTGGCGGAGCCACGGGGGCCCCCCTGGGCGCGGCCGCCCCGCTGGGGCCCCTGGGGGCCCCCTGGAGCCCCGGGGGCCCCGGGGCCCCCGGAGGCGCCCCCGCCCTGGGGGCCCCCGAAGGAGCCACCCGAGCCCCCCATAGATCCCGAGGCTTCGTGGGAAGAAGAACCTGCGACGGACTGCTCTTGAGCTCTGCGGGCTTCCTCTGCTGCTGCTGCAGCGCCAGCAGCAGCACCAGCCACTGCAGCGTGGTGCAGCGCGAGGGCCCCCGGCAGCAAGGCAGGGGGAACGCCCCCAGGAAAGGGGGGCCCCATGGGGAGCGGAATGCCCGGGGGCATCATGATGGGGGGGTGGGGGAACATGAGGTGCGGGGGGCCCCCCGAAGGATTCGCCACTCCCTGAAGATCTCTGTTTCCTCCCCCCCCCCCCGAGTTATTGTGGGTGTTTTGAGCCTGCATTGGAGCTGAGTATTCAGAAACCCAGCAGCTAGGGGCGCAGCGGTGAACTTCAGCTACAGCTAGTCATGACTCTGCAGCCTATCTTTGCAGCTTCTCGCTAGCGGCGCGGCGCCTGCCGTGCAGCCGGTCTTAGTCACTCAACCGGAAAGTTTTGCATTTCAAACACAAAAAAGCAACAAGTTTTCGAACTCATGAAGCCGCGTCGGCGAGAACACGGCGCCAGCTGGCGACACAGACAAAGTGTATGCCCAGCATGCAGCGGTGGTTGGTCAGGTTGCAATGCAGGAAGCAGCCTGCGCCTTAACAAATGGATCGTCGCAGGAATTAATTCACATTTTGCTTCTCTTCAACTCTTCAGCGCACAGGAAAACGCGCTTTTGTCCCAAACACCAGAATCCGAACGGATCCAAAGCCCCAGACCGAGAGGCGACGAGTGCAGAAAGCAGCCCCAGCCCCAATTCAGAATTCACATTTTTGTTTTAAAACCTAGAATGGGAGCTTCAGGACTTATAACCCGAACAAGTAGCATAAAAAAATTAATTTATTTAAAACTGATGGCAAAGAGCTCGGGAAACAGCCCCAAAGGGCGCTGAAGCGCTGCAGAGCAAGGTGAATGGAAGTTGCTGTCTGCCATTCAGAACGCGGTGCCCAACTAACTCTGCATCATCTATTAAGTATCTATGCTTATATACATATATGTATCTAAAAGACACGAGCACGAATGCGCAGGGAGTCAAAAAACTCTCGTTGCATTACGCGAAAAAGGCACTGCAGGGCGGACACCAGCGAATGAGCTTGTTTGTCTACTAGTGCTGCTGCACTGTTTGCATGAGGAAGCTCTTACTAAGACACTTTCACTGCAACCTCTGGGGGCACTCAGAACAATATAATTGTTCCCCAAGAGAGAGCCCCACGTACCCGAGCTATGGTCTGTTAACCCTGACAAGGAAAAAGCGCCTAAGGCACCACAAACCCTGAATGTACTGCCCTGAAGCTGCTGCTGCACTCAATGCTCAATGGACTTTGTCTATCGAACTCCTATCAACTTGGTACTCTATAGTGTAGGTGAGTTCCAGCGAGTATTTATTCCTAAACGTGACCGCAAGCTCTCGAGGACGAAAAAAGTACTATATTTTGTCAAAGTAATGGTATTTTGGCTGTCTAAACCCGACATCAGCCAGGCTGTAAACACAAACTATGAATATCCCATTTCGTTTCAGCCTTACAGGTTAAGTACCTTCATGGTGTTCCAAATGGTGGAGACGCTCACATTGCACGAACGTTTTGTGAATTTGAAAACGAAAAAGATGAGTTACATGGACAACGAAGCGTACATCTCCCTAATGGGCTTCGCATATGCGTCCGCCAGGTGGCGCCGCAGAATAACATAGTTGTTTTGTTTTTGTCGGTGTTCTGTTTCAAACACTCCAATAGGGAGTTCCACATCGTGGGGCACTAAGTAGACAGCCTTTGGCCTCTCGAATGTGTCGAGAGTCAGCAGCGTTTCTTCTTCAATCTGCTTTAGCACGAACGCGCGCAGCGCCGGAAGTGACACAATATCTTCATAAGATGCTCCGTATTCGTCGGAAAACTGCGCACAGCAGCCCCGAAGCCGGCCAAATCCACAGTGACTCTTGCCAAAAGTAGACAAGATAGAGACTCTTATTCCCGAAAAAAAGCTTCTTTATGCCTGATTTTAATCCCCAAAAAGGTGGAAAAGAGCTGGTACAAACAACTTACGGCAAACCGTGTCTTCGCCCAGCGCAGCACCGCGCTTCTCCTTGGCTGGATGATCGCCACAAGCGGTGACTGCAGGCGAAAAGATAAACAGCAAATGCAGCAGAGTTTCACGCTGATAAAAGAATCATGGTCCATTTCCTCTTTAAAAGTCAGCATCACTGCATGTTTGCTGCTTATTTACATATATTTATCTGGAAAATTTGGCATGAAACAAGTTCAATGAGCTTGGGGTGGCTGACATGGAAGTCATCCGCGTAGAGCAAAGCGCGGCGAACTATCGGGACTTTTCGGATTTGTCTTTCGGCTTCTTCCAAGTCAATGAATTCCCCTTCAGCAGTCAAAACGTTGCGAGACAACGCGCTGACAATCCGAAGAGGCAAATCCGGTCCCGCATAAACGGCCACCAGGCCCGTTTTGTACATTCCTCGGCTTGTCATTTGCCGCTGGAAAGCAGTTTGATGCCGGTAATAGCCTGAAAAAGGTGTTTTAAACAGACTCGCAGGCCTTCTGTGCGTCCGGCTTAAGCCAGTACACGCAGTTAAAAGCAACGCCATGCTTCTAGGGAAAGAGCTTTTGCGGCTACAGCTGTTCTTTGAAATCGAGAGGTAGGAAAGCTTCTGCTTACCAACAGACACGCATGGCCCCAGAACGACAACCTCCCCTCTGTGAAAAACGCACCTCTCAAGTCTTTTTGCATCAAAACTAATATTGGCTCAAGGTGCGCAGCAGAAAGTCAAATTATGCGGCTAGGCACTGCCGTCATACTGTCTACTAGTAAAAGGGAAAAGCGCAGACTTACTCTGTCACTGCGTGGCCTTTGCTGCTACCTCGAACACTAGGTCGCGTCAGTTCCAAAGGAGTCGCGCTTTCCACAGCCTTGACATTGTCCCCGTCATTCAAAGAAGCATTCAGAACCAGCGGGGAAGTGACTGCTCTCCTGCCAGGCACTTCATCTGCATGGAACTCTATCGACTCTGCGTCGTCAGCGGCATTCAGCTCCTCCAGAGCCACTGTAACTACCGGAGACGCCCACCCCAAAGGCGCCGCTCGCATTCGCTGGAAGTCCTGAGGGTCTGAAGGGCTGCTATTCTGCTGGCGGCTGGAGAATGCAATCCCGGTCTCAGGGGAGCAGCAGGCCTATGCAATATAACATGCATGCACGCAGAAACCACAAAATAAGCTATATATATGCACCTCCTCTTGAGAAGATTGCTTTTGTTTGCCAAGCGGCTTCCCTAAAGTGCTGAACAACCGCATGGCGAAAGGAAAAAGCGATCTGCGTAGCGCGTTTTTTTGTATGTTTCCTCTTTTTGTTCGGCGATACACCTACATGGACAATGCTTATGGAGTACATCAACTGCAGTTCTTTTATTATCTCGCTGGAAACCAACGCAGGGGCTGCTATGATGGTGTGAACGCTGGCCAGCTTCTCCTTTAGGTCTTCGAACGGCTGTAGACAGCAGAGACGCAGATGGCATAACAGGTCATGTACACCAGATGAAAATGCTTCCAGCTCCTCATCATCCGTAATTCGCTCATAAGCACGATATTTGACAAATAGCACAATGGGTCACGCAGTTCCAATGAAAACTTTACTAAAAAGAAACTGTCCACCGCTGTCCAAAAACGCTCTCAGCGCTGCTGACCGATAACCTCTGCAGCTCCAAGTCACCCGTTCGCCAATACGACCGAGCGCGCCACCGCAGCTTGAGAAGCAGCATAAAGCGTCGCAGTCGGCCCATCTGCTTTAGTGTGCGGCGAGCCTGAGGAAGAGTCCACAATGCAGCAGATCTCTTCTCTCAGATCCACTTACACAGGGGCTCTGGTACTCCTCTTTGGATGCAAGTGTACTTACTGCTGAGTGGAGCAGCGGCAGGATTCCTCCGGATGCAGCAATCATTGTTGGACGTAGTGACTCGACATCCTCCCGCAAGGTCAGCAGCCCCTGAGTCCACGGAAAGTTGAAAACGCAAAACACAGTCACTTCAGCGACTCGCATGCACCTTAGAACCCCACTAAGGAGAAAACAGCATGCACATAGGGTCCAGGATTCTTGGGAAGATTGGGAACTCCGCTTCCATTGAAGATGCAGAGACTCTGCGGCTAGTCGCGTCCATGGTGGCTCCCATTAAGGGCATCTGGAATGCACGGAAAACTTTTAAATCATGCAGGCTGCCTACGTGGTGGGCGAACGCCACAGTAGCTCCAGCTCTAATGATGGCGAGATGGATCACGCGCTGGTGGATCGAAGCCAGAGAGTCGACACAGAGGACCCGGTCGCCTGCGGAAGCCACAGATGTCTAGCAAGGCTCGCAGTTAAGCCGGTAAGTAAAGCCAAATTGAACCGTACAATTCAGGATGCATCATAAAAAAAAATGCTGAAGGGCCAACTGCGAAGGCATACCCTCTAGAATTGACAAAACCCTGGCCCTCCAGTCCGTTAGCGTGTCGAGAGATGCCAGCACGTTTTCGTTTGTCAGCATTGCTCCATTGAAAGGCATCGACAAGGCTGCAGCGTTCATTAACCAAAAGAAGCACGATGTAACACATATTGTAACTACATTGCACCGCTCTTGCTGCTAGCAGCCGCGAGTAATTTTCGGACTAGAGAAACCATACTGCTGAAACTTCACGCCAAAAAGTGCCGTTAATTCGTTACTGCGGGCGAGGTGTGGGGCTTGCCTCTTGGGTAGATGACAGCAAGAACCTCCACAGTGTCAAAACCCGAACGAACGATGACTTTTCGACTCTGGCCTGGAGAGCCCTGCAATGAGCGCAGGTAGCGTCAGTCGGACGTCGCAGCAAAGCAAAAGCAGCATTGAGGAAGGGCGAGAAGCCGTTACTTTTAGCACTGAGTTATTCCACTGCTTGTTGTTATTTCTGCTAAACGGTGTGGCAATAATGGTCACACGCTGTCGCAGCTCTAGCACGGTCAGGAGAACTGGCGTCGACATCACTGGACAATCACTAACAAGACACTATTGCGTACAAGCCCTTACTTCCAAGGGGTCAACAAGGTCCCAAAAGTCCACGAGAGTCAGGTTGAGTGCCCTCGCTCGCTCTATTGTGTAGTCTCCTACCTGAAAAATTCAACAGGTGCTGCATAACCCTTAACAGCTGTGTTGCATCTGCAGTGTTCAAAGGACCAATCTACTTTTCACGGCAGCAGCGCAACACGCAACACCAAACACACGAGACATGGACATAATAGCAATTTATCTTCTGTCATGGCCTTCATAAGGGTAACTTGCCGCATCAAGGGTTATGACTGTCGACAGATTCGAGAGCTGCCCGCCTTCAAGCAGGTCGAGAACGATCTCAAGATGCCGCCAGTCAGTGCACAGGTGCGTCATCTCTGAAACACCACAAGCATTGCAAATGGCTTTCCAGCCTGAAGTCCCAAGATATCGGGCCTCATCTATTTGGCATTACAAAGAGTGCAACAGGATTTGCTGCTGCAACGTCGCTTCACACATCAACCAAATGTGGCTGCAGTGTCTTCTCAGGTGAGGCCAAGAACAACTGCACTCGGAGGATTCCTGCTCACGTGTGTGAATCATCACTTCCAGAAATCGACGGGGGTTCATTTCAGGATGCATAGGCACGACTGTCAAGCCGTACGCGCCCGCTGCTCACGCAAAACAGCAGCTCCCTGCATCCCACACCCTCCTTTCCGTTTCTTGGTAATCACCCTTTTTTATGGTTTTAAAAAAGAATAAGCAACATTGGCATCAGCAGAAGCAACAGGGTTCTGCCCTCCGGGTCTTCCATTCATGAACGATTTGCCAGCGCCCAAGAAAGACTCAAGAGCAAAAGTACAAGTGCTCATTGTGGATTTCATTACCGCCAAAGTCCGCCAGAAGTAACTCTACAGAGTTGAAAGCCCAAGTTCCGAAAAACTTAAGTGGCTCGTTGGAGCCATCGCGTTGAGGAAGTTGGGAGGTTGGAACCATCTGGTCGAACGCTGCTCCCACCGACCGCGCCACGAAGTACCCCTGTGTCAATCCCACAAAGAGTATTCAAAACCATAAGCGCGTATATGCCTCAGCTCCAGCTAGTTCGTCACGTACATCAGTTTCATGATGGCTGTTGCCGCACCGAGACCTGCACAAAGAGCAGCCACTTAACTTACTTGTTGATATGTGATGACGGGATACCCATTTATCTCATCTACGTCTCCGGTCAGTAGCCAGGGAGAGTCACCAAAGAGCGCTGCAGCTCTCCGCAGCAAATCAAACCTGCGCAAAGGGCTCACGCCATCACATACGCCAAAGCAAGTCAATGGACAGTCGCAGTACTCGCCCAGCGCCACAAATAGACAGCATGTGCATTCTGACCAATATCAACCCAATGTCTTAATCCAAGAGGCCACACAAAAAAATGCCGCGGTTGGTGGTGCGCCATCGGCCAAGACAATTAAGAAAAGCCTTTGGCAGCAAGTAGATAGCCACCACTGCGCTGGCCAAACACATACTAATATGTAAGCTCCACACTCCGCTACAGAAATCATTGCAAAACGCATGTTGATATGATGTCCGAAACAATGAGCGCATCTGAGAACATTTTCTCTGTAAAACATTTTTGTTTCTACAGAGCCTTTAGACTGACGGGCGCCGTATTGAAGCAGAACTGTCTGCAGCCAATTGGGGAGGCACCGTGCTGCCTTCCAGTGGCTTCTGTTGTTCAGAGCGATAAATCGAGCCTTCTCGTCCATGGGAGACGCCGAAGAGCTGCCGACTCTTTGTTGAGTTCACGCTGCGGCTCCTATCGGCAGCAACGGAGAAGAGTTCAGTCGTCTCCGGATTGCGTGCGTCATAGCTAGTTGAGTTTTCAGACTTTCTAGAGCGCGAAAAGTTGTCTCGAGATGATGTAGGGGAATTTGGTCCTGCCTTTGCAGACGGCAGGGGCGACAGCGGACGACTTGGTTCATGTTTGCTGCCGGTAGTTGCAGCCAGGACGAAAAGAACAGGTGGCTGGTGTTGAGGAAGTTCCAGCATTGAAGAAAGCCACAGCAGCAGTGCGCACAGTAGCAGCACATGACTACGACGTTTAGCTGGACGCTGTGTCGCTGCCGCAGCTGGCATCAGCCTGTGGACAAGCGCCATGGGAAGGCCTCTTAACTCCACCCCAAGGTTCGCCCACAGGCATACAGCTTGTTGATGCGAAATCATCCGCACCTGTTTCTTCCTTGCTAGGCCCCGCGAAACATCAGGTTGCAAAATGCGTCATCCTTCAGCTAACTAACTACCAATCCAATCAGTCCATCGCAGCCTGGCCGGGACTTTTGGGGGCCAGGCCATTAACTGCTGCTCAAGTTTGACTCCATGATCCAGAGTGAAGCTTAGCTTAAGCAGAGGCGGTTTCTGGCCATGCCACAATAGCGATCTGAAGGACCCAGGTGACGTGAATGCTGCTAGGTAGCAACTCCAGCGAAGTCGGCCACAAGGTCTGCCCTCCTTTCATTATGGTCAGTACCACTAAGATTTAAGATAAGGACCTCAAAAAGTTTAGACGCTCCATCATTAGTGAAGCTCGCTAACGATTGAGAAGTCTGCCGCCAACAATCGATTAGAGCGCGAGCGTTCGCGCAGCGAGTGTCCGTGAGGGTCTGTTTACAAGCTCAGAATTGGTATGAGTCATGAGCGCCTTACAGATCGACTGTTTTGCCCAATGAGTGCTCCACAAAGAGCAATCCTTCACCTGCCTCGACGGATTACCATGGGGCTGAGCCGAAGGATAGGATGGGTCAATGGCTGCGATACCCGTCCTTATCTTAGAGCGAAGAGCCTAACAAGATATTTAAATTTTCATGGTAAGTAGGTTATATCTGTTAACTTAAAAGCAAGCGGCTCCAGGGACTTTGCTTGTCGGAGGTTATCGTCCATGTTTTCGCACGAGGGCCGAACTGCCACTAGCACAACACCTTTGAATAAGGGAAGTCTCACAGAACTCTTTATTTGAGGCTCCACAGACTACATTTACTCAGACCCTGGATTTATTAGTGCAATCTTTAAGGCTGCTTGGCTACATACGCCCGTCGATAGTCCTTGACATCTTGTACGCGATCTCCGTTCCCCAGATTCGCTGTCTCGGCCGACTCCCTTCTCCTGCGCGCACATACAGACGTTTAGCGTCTTAGGCTTCTTTTTGACGATGCACAACGTGCTCCCAGGTTGCCATTCATCCGCCTCTGTCGAGCCGTGCGCAGTGGACCCAGCAACTGCCGATATCAGGGGCATGGGCTCAACATGCCAGTGAGATCCGCCTTGTCTTGCTCCTCTTTCGGAAAGACCCGTCTACACCAGCATCCTGGCTGAGAGAACTAGGCGTAAAACAATGGCCAAAGCAGCGACACCTCCGTGGCGGCTTTTCGTACTTTTCTGTTGCTGCGTATACAGCAGAACACATGCATATAAAGTGCCCAAAATCCACTCAGACAGCCCAGAGCTTCCTTTCAACGGAGGACTCCATGCGTGGATCCCACAACAGAAAACGCAGCACAGCAGTACAGTGTTTCAAGTTCCCTCTCTTCCACTGCATCAATCTACTGTGCACCGTTCGCATACGGGTCAGGCTCTAACAGGCACATCTGCAGAGGAGCCCGTTTCCGAGACGAATGGAAATGAAAGAGAGCCACAACGCCGCAGGGACCACAGAACGCTAGGCACAATGATGGATCTGTTCTGCTTTCCGAAGCCAAAGCTAGCGTCTATGGGGGGTGTCGGGCCGGCTTTGCTGCCAAGAGGGCAGTGCTGTATGCTGCAGTTGCAGCGAGCTCTACGTAAACTGCAAGAGCAACAGGGATTTGAAGAGGTGAGAGGCATGCAGGTACACTGGTAGCTAGGCCGCTGCATCTCCGTTGTTCTCCACGTGCGTTTTTTCACCAGAGCCAAATGAGTATCTTGAGGCTCAAAAAAAGCGCTTCCCTTCTGCAGTGGTATGAAGTGCATTCCTTGAATACATTTTTGGGCATTTCAGGTCCGCACAGGGTCGCTGGCGCAGGCTTATTTGTGGCGCCGCAGCGGCCACATGGAGCACTTCGCAGACAGCATGTTTGAAATTGCTGATTTCAAGGCAGCGCAGAAGACTGACGCATCTGGAGAGACAGTAGAGTCAGAGGAGCAACAAGAAAAGCCTGAGCAGAATGGCTTACCGACTGATACCAGTGGGGATAACGGCACTTCATATTTACTGAAGCCGATGAGCTGCCCTCTTCATCTTTCTCTTTTCTTCGAACGTTCTGTGCGTTTTCCGCCTATATCAGAGCCGCAAATCAACGATACCGTAATTCCTGATTCTTGTCACGCAGGAACTGACCTTGTGTCTTGAAGGGTTTTGTCCAAAAGCGAATTTGCTTTTTAGGGCCTCCAAAGTATTCAAGTATCCGATCTTCGTCAGCTTCGAAAGAGGCTAGGGCATGCTGCGCTGCATTGTGTGTATCTCAGGTCCGTTCAGGGTCTGATGCGCCGCTGCGGATAAGTGAATTTGGGCATGTGTACCGGCGCGAGGTGCCCAGCGCCCTCTCAGGCCTCATGCGTCTGCGAGAATTCACCCAGGTGCCGCCAAATCATAAGAGTGTCATCAGTAGACTAGGATTCACAAATGAAATGCATTTCAAAGCGATAAATATCCTTTCTTAAACATCGCGATGCGGCAGCAATGTGCACCGATAATTTTAGCCCCACAGCGCTGAAGGAAAGGACACCTATTCGCACTATGTCCGCAGGATGACGGCCACATTCTATGTCGCCTGTCTCAAGCTTTGACTGAAGTGAAAACGTTTCTTTCGGGCTGTCAAAAACTTTACAAGGCTGTCGGCTTCCGGAAAAAAGACATAAGTTTTCATATTTCAACGAGGTAAATTAATATTTCCGTGTCGCCGCAGCCAAAAGCCCATCACCCTGAAATTCTCCGTGCCCCGATTACATCATTGGCACAATCGGGTGTCTCAGGAGACCTGGGATTTTTTACGCGTTCCGTGGTGAGAATGCGGCTCGTTTTTGAATCTCACAGGCCTACCAGCAGCCAGGGCTCAGAGCAAGAGTGGGCCCATGCGGAAGTAAGTACTATAAATTGTTTTACGCCCACCTATTCGCTGCGATGATGCAACGCGCTATCTGGCAGTACCTAGCCCGAATGTTGACTGCTCTGCATAAAGAGTTGATGGCATGCGAAGTTTTCGAGCTGAATTTATGGGCAAATTATCTCCAGTTGTTGCGCGGCAGGGACTTTTGCGCACCGCGCTGGAAGAGCTGAATATTCCCTGCAAGGTGGCCGCTGGTGAGGGTGCCTTTTATGGTCCAAAGATTGATATTCACGTTCCGAACGTGGAGAGACGACTGTGGCAAATAGGAACGTTGCAGGTATTTCACTCAAGATATAATAAAGGCCGCAAATACTGAGGAAGTTGCCCGCCGAGACGATCAGACATTTTATACTACATGCAGCACTGAGCATTTCTAGCTCTATTCAGCATATAATCAGCGTGTGTACAAAGTACTCGCCTATTAACTGTCTTTCTAGACTTCCAGCACCTGCTGAGGCGAATATTCATCATCACGTTTGCGGTTGGTGTGCTCTCGATTCCTTCAGGTCGACATGTTTTCGCCCAAGGCTTTCGCTCTCGAGCCAGTTCCATCCACTGAGGACCGACTGTGCCTGCTCCACCGTGCAATGTGTGGATCTCTCGAGCGTTTCCTTTGTCTCGTCCTTGAGAACTCAGATGGTCATTTAAAGCCCTGGCTGGCGCCGACGCAGGTAGGGCACTGGAAGGGATAGCCGCATCGTTGGCTTCTGCCACAGCGACTGGAGGTTGTCTTGGTAATAAACGCTGAGAGTTCTGTGAGCAGGTGGCTATACTCAGTGTTGGAGAGGGGCAGGCGAGCGCCGCTGATGCCTTAGGTAGGCGCCTTAGGCGGTCGAATGTCCGTGTCTCAATTGATACGCGACCCATCCATATCTCCAGAAAATTGAAGTGAGCACAACGCCAACAACAAATCCAATGCCCTCCTTTTGGCTCTTTTCGCACGAGGTAGTTCACATCTAAATAAAGAGGCTATCGTGACTCACATAGTTTTATGAGCCCTAGGGCAACGTAAACGCAGGCGACGCTCTTATGTGCGAGCACGGCACATAAAAGCCTTGCCCGCATTTAAGGTTCCCAAGGGAAACACGTGAGACCTGGTGGCTTCGCAAGGTGAAGACTATATTCGCTGCACCTCAGCTTCCTCTACTTGGCTTTTAAACTTTTCTGAGCTGCTTAAATTGTTTTCAGTAGTTGCATTTGGTCACCTGCTGGTGCGAGTGCGATGATTCAGGCTATACTTGAAGTACCGGGTCCCTGAAATTTGGCTTATGGGAACGACAGACCAGGAGAGGAACACGGTCACCGTGCGTAGGTAAGTGGTGATGATTTTCTTTTTACAAACTCAAACATTCCAGTTTGTTTTTTTCGTGCATGTAACCGCAGTTCTTGTTCGTTCAGTGGGAGTGGACATCATTGCTCCGCAATTAAGTGGCCAGAGGTAGGCCGCTTCATCGTTCTATGCAGGCCTCGCGGGGAGCAGCAAGTTGTGCCCGTCGAACGAGCTCTTGCGGCCGCAAGACGGCGGGCCAAGCTGCCATTTTAGCTGGGCCTTCACGGAGCTGTAGCGCAACGGCAGCAAGATAGAGTCAACCTCCACGGATAGAGTCAACCTCCACGGTCCGCCAGACTTTTAGAACCACGCGGCCGCCGCTCCACCTTTTGCAGTGTTCTATTTGAAGATTGCGCTTCACTCTGCCTGTTTGAGGCGGGGTACTGGTGAATAATTTCATACACAGACAGAGTCCCACCACGTTACATCCGTTTCTTGATGCGCGTTTAGCATTCAGTATTCGAAAAAATTCTCAGTAATTTTGAAAATTAATGGTAGGAGTACACACCGCGTCTACTCCAAGCTTAGTTAGTACTCCAGCAGCTCACAGCTATACAGGACTAGGAAGAATATAAGGCTGCACTTCGGGCCCATTGTTCCCAGTAGCCTAAAGCGTCAAAAGTTGCCTGGCAGCGCCTGTCAGATTTTGTTGGACACTGCACGTAAGCGGCCAAGCGTTCAAGATGGCTAGAGCGCTTCAACCTAGCCTACCCTGTCCAGTCCTGCTGAGTGTTTCATTACCCCAGTCTTGCCCCCTTGTGTTGCCGCTACAGCATATAAAACTCGTTATAGTAACGAGGAGAAAGTGATCGACACGCCAAAGAACAACCTTACCTCCTGCCAATGGAAGGTGCCCCGGTCAGAGTATCTGTGCAGAGAACTCTTGGTGAGTCTTAACTAATCCAGTGGAGGATCATATTAGTTTTGTGTCCACTTAAATTAGCTATTGTTCTGCAACGTACGTGATCTGTTTACATTTGTGTCCCATGCGCTGGTCAGCAGTCCTGAGCACGGTCCACGTCGACGTACATCTCCTCGACTAGGGTACAGTTCTACGGTACACTACACGGGCGCTGTGCTGCCAGCCACGAATTTAAAGACACAGACAATGGAAACCAAGTCAGTAGAGCGGCACAACGTCTACAATAGCATGTAGCAACTGCGTATGGAGAACCTAATTCGAACAAAATAGCGCTAAACGGCGAAAGTCTCAGCTGCCATTTCCAAAACTCTCACTTCTCTCCTCCTACTGGCACAATTTTGCACCTGACTTCAGGAGGAGTCGTTCAAAGCCTCCTGTACGCGCCAGCCAACAGTGCAGAAACTCTGCAGGGCTTCACGGAAAATAACAGTCGACTCCAGCGTGTACCTCACTGGTCACTGCTCGCGTCGGGTGTATTTTGGTCGGGGGGTGACAAAGTTGCCGTTTCCGGGCTGGACGAAGGCTCCACGCGCTCTTCGTCTGCTTAATGCGCAAAAAAGAGGACAAAGGAAAAAATTAGAATATTGAACTCATTTACGTCTCTAAATATGCTGGTACGGGCAATCGCTCCTGCTGACTGAAAACAGACATACTGGAGGTTGTCGGCAAGCTCCATAACAAAAGAACGCCGTCGTCCCCAGCAGAAAGAAGACACACGGGGTTACAAAAGTTGACCCAGGCAACTTGGTTGACAGCTGCGGCGTGCCCCCTTAGTTGTTGCAGCATGCATCCCCACACACGGTGCCAGATGTATATCTGTGCATCTGATGCACACCCAAGCATAAACACATGGCATGAAGGTTTTAGAGCTGCAACCCTACCGTTCAGGCAAAGGCAAAGCTTTGCGTTTTCACTGATCCACCTGTGCGTAGCTAGATAAGAGCTTCAGGAACTTGAGTCATGGTGGATCCAAAAAGAGCTCTCAGAGTTAGTGAAAGGTTACCTTCTGAGCCCGATATCACCAGTTCCTCGCGTGGACCACCAAATGCTGGACGGATCGCTAGCCTCCCCACTTTATGGCCCTTGTATTTCTGTACAATCTTGCGTTCGTCCAGGTCCCAAAGTCGCAATACCTTAGGGACCATAAAAGGACAAACGCCTTTCACAGCGCAACAGTGAATGGCAAGCTGACCCTTTTAGGCCGCATAAACCCCCATGGCATTCCACGACAACGTGTCGCCTTGCATTCAGAAAGGAGGGCAAATTCGAAACTTGCTGTTTTCTAACGTTTGTTTCATTGCGTGGTGGTCGTCAATCCGGAGAGGTGGCTGCAAACCTCACCGGTGGCGTAGTTGCTGCGCTTATCAGTATTTGATTGCAGATCTTGGACGGGCACGCTGCAATGACTAGGTCCTTCTCACTAGCCCTGCAGTTACCAAAGTAGTGGGCAGTCAGCAGCGTCCTACCTTTCCTCTTCTGTAGCCCGGGACATGCTCACCTTAAAGAGACGAGCAGCTTGTCCTCGTGTCTCGTCTGGACAACGTGACAAGAGCAGCTTCTACGAAAGTGCCAGAAGACTTCCAAAGAGACTTCTAGCTGCACTAGTGGAGCCTTACTTACCAAAACGTCTCTTCTTTCGTAACCAAGTCGAATAACTTAATCTGGCGGTCTGCAAAGAAAATCATTACGCTGTTTCCCCGAGGAAGTAAAAAGCCCTCCTGCGGCCTGCCCGGCAAAATCCATTCATATTCCACAACGTGCGTGGGTGTCAAGCTGGACTCCTCAAGTGAGACAAGCGTCATGGTTCTGTCAGTTGCCATCGATATAAGTCTTCTTGAGCCTGGCACCCACTGGAGAGCAACAATCGAACCGCCATGCGGGCAGTAATCGCCAATGCGTCGGCCTTCTTCCCAAGCCTCAATAAATGCAGCTTCACCACCAGCTGCTAGCAGTTTCCCAGTGCTATCCCAGTCTAGAAACGCAGTAGCACTGGCCAGACGTTGGACACGCCAAAGCAACCTGCACGTGCCAATGACGTTGCCGCTTTCAAGTATCGGGCGGGCTTGGGTCTGCTCGAGGCGCATTAGCAGGTCCGTATCGCCCTCCAACCAGCTTGCCAACCACTTCGCTCCAAGCTGACTTGTTGACTCGCACTCTCCCGAGCTTTGTTCGCCCGGAGAAGTTTTTGTCCCCGTTGAGGTTTCTGTGGTCAGTAGCCACACGCAGACCGATCGGTCTGCAGATCCCGACGCTACGAGAGCTTCTCTCGAGTTTGAGTGCTTTGGAGAAACTGCAATTGTCCAGACTTCCATGCGATGTGCGTGAAGGCAGCCTACGCAGTACTGCGGAAGGAGAGGTATTTTGCAGCGATGGGGCTCAATTATGCTCTTCGGCGCGAAGCTCGAAGACTCAACGTGCAACGGGCAAGTAAGAATTTGGAAACGACGAGCATGATCGAGAATCGTCGCCAGCATGGACGGCTGCATTGCCACCGACGCTGGCAGCAAGCACGTGATGCGGCTAAATAGTTGGTGTCTGCTCAAACTCGATATCTGCAGCACGTGAGCCAGTAGGTCGCTGCCTTGATACATCAAAAGCGCCGAACACTCGTGGACTCTTTCTACAGTTGCAGCGTCGAACGCCGAAGCACTAAGATCCTCTGCACAGAGTGTCATCACAAATGGGGCTGATGTGTGATCTATGGCAAGCTCAGCATTTACAGCTGGAAGGGACCTGCAGCACGTCAACGACACAGCTATCTCCTCCTTACTTCTCAGGCACTTAAGTCTTGCATCTAAAGTGCTGCAAGGGTCCACCACCATCTCCAAAAACTTGTGTTGCATTAGCAAAAACCAGCAACCCTGTCTTGTCGGGGGTTCAAGCGGCAAACGCAGCAGAGCCCTCCCCGCTTCTATCCAGTTCCCCTCCAAGATACTTCGGCGCAACATGCGCATGTCAGGCTGCAGCAGCTCGACTCCACTAGCCTTTTCAAGAGATGCCACAATGTCCCTGACACAGCAGTGCCGCAGCTGTACAGCAACCAATTCACAACGTCGCGTGAGGATAGGTCAAGAGACAACGTTTCGCTGCTACACTAACATCAGAGCTTATATTTGTGGTCATGTCTTTCACGTTGTACATGCCGACCTGTAGCCCATTTCGTCAAGAGTCTGCAAGATCAAGCGCAGCACTTCTCTTGTGTCGAACCCCCTCCACATGCTGCTAAACTCGCCGGACACAGGGCGAGAAGGCGGAGGTCCCCGCATCATCGCTGGAAGAGCACTCCTGGATATTGAGGGTTCAGCAGCGGGTCCATTCATCGAGTCACCGTCCGGAGCTACTGCTGGCGAACTGATGGTAAATCTAGAAGGATTAAGCATAACACAATCATGATGCTCCAGCAATACAGAAGAAGCCCAACTGCCAACGCTGCCTTCAGATTGAGATAAGGCTCAACTAGTGCCGTAATAATCTTAAGAAAGACTCTCAGCGTTGGAAGAACGAGAGTATTGTTTTCTCCCCAAGACCTACCGCCCTATGGCCCACGGTCTGGTCTATCAGACTGCAGCCTCGTCGCGCATGTGCAGCACTGATTAACTGTCAGTGTTACCAAAGCTGTAAAAGCTAAGTTCCCATCACAGTAAATAAGAAGGAACTCATTCAGCCTCTACAGCAGGATGCCAACACTGAAGCTAGTCCCAGTGTCGCTCTCCCGCTGCCAGTCGGGTCAAGAATCGCGACGCATGCACATTAGGAATAAAATCAGTCATTGAGGGACCAGTATTTCTACCACATGTCAGTTTCTCGCTTATTTTTAATATTATTACGCGTCTGTACTCTAGCTGATGATTAGCGGAGCACCTTAGCAGGAGAGGGTACCGGCAGCGACTCCTTCAGTGGATGGTACCATTGTCTCAACAGGGTGTCCAACACGTCTGTGCATCGAAACGCCAATTTTTCTTGAATACTTGAGCGTTAACAGCTTGGCTGATGCTTTCTGGCATGGAAGTCAAACGCATAGTGCTCTTCAATGCACCTCGCCAGTCTTTTTCAATGCTAAAGTGACCAAGTCAGATGCATTAGCTGGCTGGTGCGAAGAACTACTGGTACAAATGGAGCCCCAGAACAAAGATGAGCTGTAACGAAGTACCGTCCTAATGGTTATTGGGCCCATCACTCTGATGGAGAGTGGCGCCGTCCCCAAAGGCGGCGATATAAGGCGCGCTGCACAACTGCACATCGTTGATTGAAATCCTGCTCTCAGGTGAAGAATCTGCCAAAGCTCTCTATGAAACCTTACTTCTCAATTTTTCACGGAGTGATTTAGTCAATCCGCGGACGATTACGCCGACGCTTTCGCGAGGAGCAGTTCTGTCCTGCTCGGACTGCGCCTTTACTTTACTAGGAGCACTTAAGCAGGACGAATAAGCTCAAAAGATTGACATGCAGAATATTCACAGCTCCTTTGAGCCTTATAAACTACTGGAGCTCATTTTGAGTACTTAGGTGGGAAGAATTTTTAGTGTAGAAGAACTGAACCGGTAGAAGCCTACGACTGAAAATGGCATTCGACGCACGCAAAGCGTGGGTCAAAAAGAAGGTGATGGGGGCCTTGAAACTAGAAGATTTAAGCTTGTGGAATAGCCTTATGGCCAGAGTGAGCCTGGAGTGTCTACGTCGCGCATTCACTGCAGCTGCCTTCCCTGGCGGCAAACATGAGACACAGTCTGACTTCATACATTTATATAATTCCTACGTTTTCATATGTGGTGCCGGAAATTTTAGTCATGCATCCCTTGCACTGAACAGATATGGGAAGACTTGCATAGTTCTTTTTAGGTCCCGTTGCTCGTTAAAGGTGGGGCTTCAAGTATGGTGGTGTCGTTCCTTCGAGCATGCTGTGTACCTCGCAACCAACGCGACGTTGTAGCAGTTTGAAATGGTTCTAGTAAGGATACAGTCCTCTACATACCAGCAATAAAGTGTTAGGGGAGGCTCTGGAAACAACGTACTACTTCGTGCTCTCAGGATGGTCAGAAGGCAGACAAACTGTTGACTCATTTCCTAGAGGCAGGAAATACAGGAACAGCAATATTCTTTTCCTATGCAGAGTCTGAAAATTTGGGAGTAAGCAAATGCTTCCCTATAAACACTTTTGGCCCATGAAAGGAACCGCACTAGACACTGTTGAATTATTTGTTAGCCATGCAAACATCTCACAAACAAATGCAGAACGGAAGTCCTGATCCGACTACAGGCCTTCGGAAAGCTTAGAAGGAAAAATTGGTATCCACTTACTTCAAATGTTCGTTTTCAGGCTGTATCCAAGCAACGTGAGTATTGATGCTATTTTGCGCAGGCTCCTCTGCTGGAGATGCAAAATGGCCCTTTGCAGTTCTCAAGTGGCTCAAATGTCCAAGCGTACGCGCTGAGACTCTGCTCTGGACCAATTAATTTGACTGGCAAGGTGAATATGACATTTACTAGAAGGCTGGAAAGTTCAATTTGTAGACATTGGGTAAACGAACATACATGTTTTCACGCACCATCACGTTTACTGCTACTGGCCCTCCGAAGCACGCCTCATAAAAGCTAAATTTGAGTGAGTTGTTGGCTGACTTACAGGGCATAGACTCCATGAATCGCTACGTCCTTGTTGGCCTCATTAGCCCTCACATTCTCACCGATCTCGCCCTCATTTTAGAGGGCTTCTTGGTTCCTCTTCTCTCCGACCGGCCTGAGCAGCACAATCACGACAGCGCGGAAAAAAGTCCTCAGGAAGTTGCAGATGACGGAAAGCCGCCAACTGCGCAACTTTTAAAAGTTGGGGCTCGAGAAAACTCTGCGGCTTCGACTTACTCACACGTGGAAGAGAATGATTCGGTACATTAGTGATCCATCTGAATAACCACCTAGCAATAGAATTAAGGGTGGCTTCACATTAATCCTCTTCGTGCCACCATCACAATCTCCGTGCAACTGAAATGCCGTGCATTGACAGGCTGACAGTGAGGACAGTGACGACATAGAAGACTTTCTATCCTCTCAGTCATCCAGCAGACGGGAGTCAACATCGGCAGCCGAAGGAACGACAGTTGCTGCTCAAGAAAACTATTCTGAACCACCTGCAGGAGCTTACAATGCAGCTGAAGATATAACCAATGACACTGCTTCAGATGATAGTTCCCCCGTGTTCGATCCAGAGTGCAAAAGTGAGGCACTCACCGCAACTCAAGAGCTGCTTACGCACATAAAGATGGCTTCAAGCAGAATAGCAACTCCGCTTCCAATGCCCACTGTCGACGCTGCCACCCAAGGTGGCCATGAAGGTATAGCCGATGAGTCTACGTTGGAAGCGGCAGTATCACAGTGGCAAACGGTAAGCTCAGTCTAACTTGCCCTTTACTTTTAATGGTTTAGCAAAGGTACAAATCAAACAATGCAGCCTGGTAATAACTAAGAAATTGAAGGAGCTTCGTCTTCCTCGCCTTCCGCAGCTGATCTGGCGCCTGTTGGATTCTGAGAAAAATCGAAAGCCGGATTCCCTCCTGCCGATATCTGAGGTCAACTTTTGGAGAGATCGGTACTTATGCCCTGGATCACATTTGTCAAGAGCTACTGCTTTGTTCCTCAGTGTAGCCTGCAACGTACTCATCGTATCACCTTACTGACCTTCCTTCTTCCTGTATTTGCATTACTACGTCTTCGTTGATTATTCACAAACATACGCATCCATCTTCACTGTGTTTTCCACATGCATTCGTCAGACATGCTGCAGTCTCCTTACTCTACGAACAGCTTCTCGCACCGCAATGCCAAGAGGCAATACAAACTTATGAAGAAAAAAGGCCAGATTCTGAAGCGCTCATGTCTTTCAAGAACTCCATGAACGACCTTCAGCTTCTGCATGTGGAATCCACGAACAACCTTCGTTTTCTGTCGACTCTTGAGAGGTCTGCCCCTAAATTTCTCGCAGTACTGCCTGCCTGCTGGTCTGATCTATCTTACAAAATCTGTTTCAGCAAGAAGCAAACTACAAAGCCTATCAGTGTCGCGCTTCAACACGTTCTTATTTGACGCTTCTGCTTTATCAGATATTTCACTACTCTTGAATCAAAACCGCTGGGCCCCATGGCTGATACTATTGCCTCGCTCATGGATGCTTTGCGAATGGTGTGGATAACATCTCGGCACTTCACTAGTGATGAACAGATGCAGGGTCTGATGGAAAGAATCGCGTACCAGGTGCGTGTAGAACAGTTAGCATGTTTATACTTGTAAAAGAGGTCAGCCTGAAAGACTGCTAAAAGGTTTAAGCTATAGCAAAACGATGTACTTTCTTCTTGCTGCCTGCGTCCTCCATTAGCTTGAGATCCGTGTTCGGCAAGAGGCTCGCGTGGAACAGCTTCTGAGAAAAGAAGTGGATGAAGCCACCACAGTACTACGGCAGTCGCGTGACTTGCTGGAAACGTGGAAAGCTGAGTACTTCAGCATGCGCTCTCGCCTCGAAGAGTCTGAATGCGACCGACGGTCAGTTCTTCACAAGCGTACAAAGCTAAATTATTGGATCGACAATGTGCGTGCGTGGAAATTGACTTGCTGTATCTGCGATCCAGAAATTCAAATTCTTATTCGTAGAGTTGGCTCTTCAGCTTGGTTTAGCTGCTTTTGAGGATACGATGAAGACATTTGCTTTTAGGTGGGAATTTGACCGGCGCAAGCTTTTCCGGACAACTGATTACATGGCATCAATGTGCACCAAGTTTGAAGAGATTGCTAAAACAATTGGACAATTCAAGCGTTTTATAGGACCTAAATTACACTCGGTTACCCGGTCTCGCCGAGCGATAAACAAACTGGCCGGAAATATGCAGGTTTGCCCCTGCATTTGCATATGCACTGTCTCCAGTGGCGTGCATGGATTCTGTTCCGCTGAGGATCAATAGCAGCTTTGAGTTGTACGCACTCCAAACAGCCAAGTTAATTCATTCTGCGAATCACATTGAGCAGTGCTCGTTTATTGTTGGGCCTGCAATACTTCAGGCTCTTGTCGGGCTATTCGATTCTGTTTCCGATAAAATTTTCTGCGAGAACAGCTCAGAAGATGTTCTCAACGTTGTGAAACAATTTTGGCAACGTACGGAGGAACTGGAAGATGACTGCATCATGTTTCTGGATACAAAGTTTACCAGGCTTCGTTCTGCTCTGAGTGCTTTTCAAATGCTGAAGGACTTCACCACTACGGCAAGCAGACCAAGGATCAACGTAAAGCTCGGAGAGAAGTTTGTGGACATTCTCAAGCACTTCAGTATGTGATCCCTTACGAAGCGAAGCATCTAATGCGCCCACCAGCTACGGCTCAAAGGGTTGCGGTTTTTCCCACAGCAGGGGAAAAACCATAATTACAATGGTTTGCCCCGCAGATACTGAGGTTGACCGCATGCGTGACCTGTTCGAACAAGGAAAAGATAAACCTTCCATACCAAGCCACATGCCTCCCGTTGCCGGCGCAATTTTGTGGTCAAGCGCGCTTTTTCAAGCTCTCAAGGCCAGCGTCTTGGCTTTCAAGCAGATGCCGGAAGTCTTTGACTTCGATCAAGCAGAGGATGTCTTCGGAAATTACCTCTCCTTTGGAAAATCGATCACTGCATATCAAAATTCCCTCGTGAAGCAGTGGCAGGTGAGCTGTTCATATGTGCTTTCCTGATCCCGTTTGTTTATGTTAGCCTCGCAGCCCATAACCTGCCCTAATCGTTTCTTCGCGGGAGCTCCCTTCCGCAATGTGACAGTCGCAGGGGCTATTCCGCAGAATCTCCCTTCTGCTTATGTATGCTCCTGAAAAATATTGGGCAGGTCGATGCGGTGAATACTGCTACGGAATGTCTAAAGTCGTACGTTCTTCAGCGGCAGCCTAATGGCATATACGCAGTGAACTTTCGCCCTGAAGTATGGGTGGTGATGCAAGAAGTTCGTCATCTAAACCAACTAGGAGTGCAGGAAGCGCCCGCGGCTGTTTTGAACGTCGCTCTGCACAAGGTGAGGGCACCTGTTTTCAGTCACAGCTTTTCGGACAACGCACGCGGCCTCAGCAAGGAAGTTCTGCTCTTTTTGCTCTCACGAATTCTTCCAACTGTTCGTGAGCGAATCAGGAGAGGTTTTGCCAACATCAAGTGCTACTTGAAGGCCTTGTGGACAAGTTGAATACCACACTTTCAAGCATCATTCCAGCCCACAGAAACCTGCTATCGAAACAGATTGCTGAGCTTCATAGGCAAGCTTCCACTAGCAAGAGCATTCGATTCTCTTTAGTTCCTTGACTTATCGCACCTGGTAACAGAAAATGGCTAGATATAAGATGGGGCGGACAGGCCCACTCAGTATGGAGCAGCCGCATACCCTAGGCGTTGCACTGCGAACTGCATCTAGTCGCAACAAGATATCCGCAGTCTAGCGGCCTTTTGACGTTGTTCATGGCTACTCAGGGCTGTTCTTCCGGGCCTGACCACCTTAAACTGGACTAGCCTGGGGCTAGAAGACTTTGTAAACACGTGCCTGAAGTCGTTGACTATCTTTAAAGCAACGTGCGAGCAAGTTTTCAAAAATGTGGAAGTTATCGAGCAGATTGTGAAGGAAATTGAGAACGCGCAACTGGTTAGAGACTTGAACTGGGACACATTCGAGCCCGTTGCCATTCAGGTATGCTTCAGGCAGACCTTCTAATTATTCTGCAACATTTGAATTATGCCTCACGCCACAGAATCTCTTGAAGATGTTGCTTGCGGACAGGACTTCTACGAATACATAGAGGAGCACAGGGCCAATGTAGTTGAGGCCCTCCAAGCTAAATATGAGTCGATTACTTCATATTTAAAAAAGATTGAGGAGCTTTTAGAGGGCAGGACCACTGGCTCTAGCGAAGCCATGGCGGCATATTATCATTACTGGGAGAGAAGAATTTTTAATGCAATAGCAGCGATGCTGATAAGGGGTACGTCTCAAACTTTCAAACAAGTATATGGACTAATGAACAAACTTCTACGGCGGAGTGCTGTCTCACCGCTTACCCAAGAGATGCAGCTGCAGATTATAGTGCCTTGCTTTTCAAGTTTGACCGAAAACATATGTCCGTCACTTTTTGTCTCCTTGCAGCAACTAGTCGCTTTCGAGCCTTCTTTACTTTGTCATCCCCAATGTGCCGCTGGCCAGCAGTTCTTCGGGTGACTACAGAATTAAACGAAAAGGAGGTTGTTATTCACGGAAGCACTCATGCCATTTTCAAAACCATATCCAGATTGATGCAAAATATCATTTCGTCATCAATGAACTTTCCGAGATGGATGCATGGAACTTGCAAGTAGGCGCTCCTGCGACCGTCTTGGATACCGTGTAAGATGGCCTCTCCTGAAATTAGTGAGAAGATTGTTTATGAAGTATGTGTTCCCTTCAGGTGCGTTCCCATTCACCAGATCCCAGGGGGAGATGAGACAACGGCACTTCAATTCACCTTCTACAACGAAGTAGCTCGAATACCTGCGCTCATCAATACAACTGTTGCTACGCACCAGGCCATTCAAAGAGTCTTCCAAGTATGTGAATTCACCCACCCACACTTATGGCATATTTGTCTGCATTATAATGTCGCAGTAAACTGATTAAGCTCGCTGATAGCTTTTACTGCGTTGCTGCTGCAGCATATTACGAAATATGTGAAAAACTGGAGTAAGTATGAAGCTGATTGGGCATTGTGGAGCCCAGATCGCAAAACTCAGCTGGAGCAACTCATCATAAAGCGACCCAACTTGGTCTATTTTGACGTTTATGTTCGAGCTTATGACAAGGTGAGCAGGCGACAGGGGACGCTGGTCGTGTTCGATTCTGCGAAATCCACCCAATAAAGCAAGACTCGCCTTGAGTATGCTAAATGTGTAAATTGTTGTCTGCAGCTTGCAGCAGAGTTGGGTTCAATGCCTAAAGTGCAAACTATTGGCTTCATTCAGCTTGACTCTGCGACAGTCATTGATGGACTGCGAGAACAGGCACTGGTGCTAAGCAAAGCATATGCAGACACCCTTCATGAAATTGCAAGGAGAGAGAGTGCAGACCTGAAGAAGCTTATAAGCGAACGACGGTAAGGATTAACTGGTGGCAGGCAAACGAGGATAAGGGTTAGCAGGTGGCTTGATGGCGCGATGTTGCTGTTGTGGTACTAGCCTACCAGTGCTCCATACGAAATGTGCAGGGAAAATCTTGAAATGCAGACCGATTCTCTGGAAAAGTTCAAGGCGCTGATGGAATTAGTGACAACTGTTAATGATAGCGCCATTGATGCTGAAATACGACTGATGGAGATGAGAGAGATGTACAGCACTCTCCAAAGCTACGAATACCCTCTAGTTGAAGCGGAAAAGGAGGACTTAGTAGCTCTGCCCAAAGCGTGGAAGGAACTGAGAAACTTGGCGCACCGCAAAACGAGACAACTCGCCTCCATAAAGGAAAAGTTCGCTGGAGAAAAAAAATTAGAGGTAGGAAGCAGGAATGCATGCGTGTCCACATTTGCCTTGCAGCTGGGCAGAAACGCGAGCATTAACGACTCCAAAAGTTGTGTTCCCATGAGCGTGCATTCAGGTTGCTGCTTTCATTGCTGAGTGCAAGGGGCTCCAGCAAAAATTCCAAGACATCTCCTCCTCCGTTGATATCCCTCTAAAACAGGGACTGGAAGCAATAAGAGGGCTGCGGGAAGAAGTTGCGGACTTCAAGCAACGGGCCGCTGAACTTAATAATGCCGAAGACTTGTTTTCGCTTCCAGTAACTGAATTCAATATTTTAGACAAGCTTGAGGCTGACCTCAACCTGCAATATCAGGTATTTTCTCTCTACGCCGATCACGATGCGATGGTTCAAGAATGGGCAACTCAGCTATGGGCGAAAGTTGACTTCCAGGTGCGCAATGGCGCATGCAGATATAGCCACGCCTCAAATGTGAAGCAAGCTTTCAGTAGCTAGGTGAAAATATGGTAGCTGAATGATGGAGAGCAGCTGCATGCAGGCAGGAATTAAGGCTTTAAATATATCATTCAGTGCACGGAAAAAATTTTCAGGAGCTACAAAAATCTGCTGAAGAGTTCAAAAAAAGACTAAAAGCCCTAGCGAAGAATGGGGGCCCTCAAGTTACAAGCTCCCCAGTAAGCTGAATAGCGGACACAGGGGATAAATGAAGACTGTACTGGAAAGCGGTTGCACCACTTCTTACGGCTGCTAAGAGAATAGTGCGCAGACTACCCACGTGTTTCACAGGCATACAGTAATGTAACGCATCTCATCCAAAACTTTCAGAGTGAGCTTCCACTAATTGAAAGGCTGAAGAATGAGGCAATACGGCCGCAGCACTGGAAAGAGCTGATGGCCGCCGCGGGACAAAATTTTGATGCCGAAAATAAAAATTTCCGGCTGCAGGATGTTCTAGACCTGCAGTTAGGTCGCTTTCCAGATGCAGTTAATGAAATTATCCAGGCTGCTGCTGTAAGTGTCTCAAATGCCCCTGCCACCTGATCAAACCACCTAAATTGGAGAACCTTCTAAAATGTCGTCTACTTTGTCCGAGAGTTATCTAGAAAATTTGGAGAAGTGCTTTTCATTTGCTTTGTTTAAAACGCGGTCATGTGGCATTTCTATTTCGTGAGTTCTGCAGGAAGAAATGAAGCTGGAGAAAGATATCACCAAAATTGAGTCTTCCTGGAGACAACAGACCATTGAGATCGCACGGTATAAGAATGACACCAACCGTTACGTCCTGAAATCCAACGATGATTTACGGATGCTGCTAGATGACAACCTGCTCCAGCTTCAATCGATGCTCAGTTCCAGATTTGCCTCGACAGTGATAGAGAAGATTCGAAAGTGGGAGAAGTCTCTCATTATAATTCGTGAAGTCTTCGAGGCTTGGTTACAAGTAATAGACCTACCCTGATTTGGAAAAAACAGAAAGATGCTCCTGCTGGCCACCTTCAACGCACCGTTTGGAGTTCAATGTGCAGAAGGCCCAAATCTGTCAAGTACAGTTTTTCACCACACAAGATGCACCAACTTGAAGCGCTTGGGAATGTTAACGTTTTGGTCGCAGGTACAACGTAAATGGATGTATCTCGACGGAATTTTTACCGAGTCCATCGATATTCGTTTGCAGTTACCTGAAGAAGCGAAGAAATTTGACGTCATTAATAGACGCTTTCTATCCATAATGAAACAAACAAGCGAAAATCCAAACGTTCTGTCGGCACTTTGTATTGAAAATCGACTTGGTGAAATGAAACGTTTAG